AATTATTCAGCTCAAAATCTAATTAGGAAACATTTAATGGGTAAATTAATTTACGAGAAGTATCTTTTGGAAAAAAAAATTCGGAAATATTTCTCCAATAATAGATACACAATTCAGCTGATCCAAAACAAGACCAACAAAATTCAGTTAATCCAAAACAAGTCATACCAAATACATGTGACAAAATTTAACAGTGTTCAACTTTTCTATGGTAAAACCCATGGACATGTAGTAAAACACAAATACATCAAATTTATGTATCTATTGTGAAGTTTTCTATCCCAGACAAAACTATTAAAAATTTCTTGTAAAACTTCAGGATTATTATGAACTTAGACAAAACATATTTATGGGAATGCCTTTATACCAGTGCTATTGAGGGATCTAAATCCATAACATTCATTGTGGAAGGAAAGGGACAGTGGTAGCTATCATCGGGGAAGTCTGGGCTGTCTAGGTCCTCCGAGGGCTGCGTAGTGTGGGGGTCAAGGTAAATCAGTTTATCACCTATAAATAACAAAATGTTTTATAGAATCTTTGAATCAAGAACTTATGTACTTTTGGAGTTCTTTTCAAATAATATTTTCATATCTGTCTGATGAAGCTTTTGAAGGTAAAATTGTTTTCAAACAAATCTGAGACTAGAGACATGAAAAATTTACAACAAATCTAACAGAATGTAGAATACATAAAAACATGTATATGCTCACCCATGTAACCAACAAACCAGTGGGCATGGTTTGGTTTGCCTCCAATGATACCCACACTCTGTGGAAAACTTAAACAAGCCTGAAATTTAGAAGGTAGTATTTATTTAGACTTAATTACTTAATTATCTTCAAGAACATTTTGTAAATGGTTTTCTTTCATTAGAAATTCTTTACAACTGAATAAATCAATTTATAGATGATTTCCCTTTGTGGTGGCAAAATTTAATTTTAATAAATATATATTACCCGGTAAATATGCATTCTTCATAAAAGAAGATCGAGTTATAGTAAAGTAAAAAGAAAACTATGAATGTACCTTTAAACTATGCACATAAACTGAATTAATTTCAGTCAATCCAAGTCGTAATGGAATTACAAGTAAAAGTGGTTTCCAACTTTTGACATTCACTGTATTTTGTTTGTTTTTGTTTTGGTTCTGGGAATTTTGACTAGAACTTTTGCTTTGTCCCGTGGCAGCAGAATTATGTTTTAATTGTCTAACTCCAATTATATCACAGTCACTTTGTTCATTTCCTTTACAAACACTCCCTGAAATAAAAACAGTTTGTGTCTAAAATTGGTCATGATGACATATTGTATTTTTGTTTGACAATAGTTTTAAAGGAACATGTTCATCGATTATTTGAACATCCAACAATTCTACGATTTGAATTTTAGTTCTTTTATCTGCCACAATAAAAACTGCAGTTTACCCATGATATACAAGAGGACAAGAAATACATGTATGTTACATATTTCAGATCTAATCATTCAAAAACATGTATTAAAAGCAAGTCAAGAAAATATTAAAACACATAAAGAATTTTATTTAAACAAGAGGCCCATGGGCCACATCGCTCACCTGAGCACTAAGGGTAGGAAAAAGTAGAAAATGGCTTTTTATTGTAAAGTTTAAATCCAAAAGTAGTCCCATGACCAATCATGGATTTGCTATTTTTTAGAAAATGATTTTTAAAGAATTTTCCTATATTTATCTTTAAAAACTTTGGTCGGCCATTTTGGCCCCGCCCTACCCCGGGGGGTCATGATTTGAACAAATTTGAATCTACACTACTTGAGCATGCTTCCATATAAATATGATGAATTATGGCTTTGTCATTCTTGAGAAGAAGATTTTTAAAGAATTTTCCTATATATTTCTATGTAAAACTTTGGTCGGCCATTTTGGCCCCGCCCTACCCCGGGGGTCATGATTTGAACAAAATTGAATCTACACTACCTGAGCATGCTTCCATATAAATTTGATGAATTATGGCTTTGTCATTCTTGAGAAGAAGATTTTTAAAGAATTTCCCTATATATTTCTATGTAAAACTTTGGTCGGCCATTTTGGCCCCGCCCTACCCCCGGGGGATATGATTTGAACAAACTTGAATCTACACTACCTGAGGATGTTTCCCCATAAGTTTCATCTTTCCTGGCACAGTGGTTCTTGAGAAGAAGATTTTTAAAACATACCACCAAATTTTCACTAATTCTCAATTATCTCCCCTTGAATGAGGGCGTGGCCCTTTATTTGAACAAACTTGAATCCCTTTCACCCAAGGATGCTTTGTGGCAAGTTTGGTTGAAATTGGCCCAGCGGTTCTTGAGAAGAAGTCGAAAATGTGAAAAGTTTACGGACAGACAGACAGACGGACAGAACGCCGGACAAAACGTGATCAGAAAAGCTCACTTGAGCCTTCGGCTCAGGTGAGCTAAAAAAGCATGTGATACTTACATAAAAGTAAGAAATCTGATTGCTTTAATTATTTGTAGATAACCTACTGATATCATTTTCTATTGCAGTGTTGTAGTTAACCTACTGATATCATGTTCTATAACAGTGTTGTAGATACCTACTGAATCATTTTCTATGACATTGTTGTAGATAACCTACTGATATCATTCTCTATAACAGTGTTGTAGATAACCTACTGATATCATTTTCTATAACAGTGTTGTAGATAACCTACTGATATCATTCTCTATAACACTGTTGTAAATAACCTACTGATAACATTGATTCTCTGTAACATTGTTGTAAATAACCTACTGATATCATTTTCTATAACAGTGTTGGGATAACCTACTGATATCATTCTCTATAACAGTGTTGTCCATGGCTATATGAATCACAACAGAACTCCACTCATCATACACAGCTAACTTCCTGTTCAAAGAAAGAACAGATTCACTTAGGAAATGTACATAAATGTAATATATAGTACATTGTAATATACTTCTAAAAATTTTAAATAATTAACTATAATTTTATTATCAATTTAATGGCTAATTTCAAGCAAAACTTTAAAGGAAAAGAAGTGACTAAATTTACGCATAATCATGCATTCAAATTTGTGCAGCTGTTCTTCAGAAAAAAGTCTTAAATGTGAAAAGTTTACAAAGGTATGGATGGAAAGATGGATGGATAGATGTTGAACAACTCATGATCAGAAAAGCTCACTTGAGTTTTTCAGCTCAGGTGAGCTAAAAGAAATGTTGAGACTTTCAAATCATACAGATATAAAACTTGGTTATAACGAAGTCAATGGGACCTATGAAATTACTTTGCTATATCCTTAATCCTTTATATCCAATATAAGAAATTATTTAAATCTATAAAGCTGAGGATCCAAAATAACTTCGCTATGTCCATGCATGAATTCGCAATATCAGTGTTCCTAGTAAACAAGTTTTGCTTTATCCACTGTATTTGATAAAAATATGAATGCTTAGTAATAACAATGTTCAACTTTTTATGCTTTAAGGTACACACCTAGACCTCAAATTGATAATTTTTTTTATGTCTTACTTTAAAACTTGAGCCACTGTGTTTGGTCCAAACCAAGATCCAACTTGTTTACCTTCAGAAACTCCCATGGATGCTACAGCATAAGAAATTAAGATAATACCTCTTCTTTAACATGATGCATGTATATTTTTTTTTGAATTGTATTTATCCACTTCCTAAATCAAACCAAACAAATCAAACAAGAAAATGTGAATTTTAAACAATTTGAAGAATAAAAGCATTAATTATTACAGAAAACTACATGCTCACCTATTTGTTGAATGGAGTAATTTGCACTTTTCTTGTCAGCAAACATTTGTAGAACTCTTTTGTATCTTTCATCATGGCAGTGTGGATTCCATCTCCAATCTGCATTAAATTAAAGTTTGTCTTAAATTTTTGTGTCAAGACAACTACAATATCAACAACCCATTCATCTTTTCCTTTGTTGATCTTTTAATAAATTTAATATGTAATGTACCTGGTGTGTGAAGGCCTACAGAACCAGAAATAGATCTTTAAGATTACTGTTAAGATGTAATATGGTGTAATAAGAAAAGTAGTTTATAAACCTCTCCCGAGGTGCCTGACCACCAGAGCCTGGGCAAGCATCATCTGTCCACACCGTAACATACATCCCCATCCCCCATCTGAGGTTGGACCTGTCCCACCTAAAAATACAGTTTTTACTTCAATCCATGAACTTTAATTTGAAAGTTGCTGATTGAACCCAAATTTCCAAGGAAATTCAAGATACTCTCTGTACATTATTGAACATACACTAGTGAACATATCGGCGTCTTTCTTTCATATATGATTGGAATTTTCTCATTAATAGATATCAAATGAATTCTATGAAGACATGACACATATCATTTAATATCATAAGCATTTTAACAGTAGTTCTTCTGAGTGCCAGTCAAGTCCATCAGACCAGAAACCACATTTAGCTTAATAAAGTATTATATTACATCTTCTGAACATAACTACTGTATAAAGTTGTTTTCATTTGCCCTAGCTGTTTTTTTTTCACCCTTTCACACTTGCAAACAAATCTGCAGTTTTGTTTAAGATGTTTAAGAAATTATACTGTATGTGTTCTTTTTATTTTGCCCATTTTACTTGTGAGAAAGGTGAAAGAATCAAAATAAAATAGGAATGAAAAATTCCCTGTAACAGAATTTACCAATGGCTGGGAAGTTTTTCCTGTAGGTACACCATATCCTGGATAGGAAATCTTTCTTTAAGTCATCCCTGTCTGCAATATAAGGTTAAGTATTCTTACTTCATCTTATAATCGATTAAATTATTTACAGTTATATGATAAAAAAATTACAATCAACAATATAATTACAGTGTACATATTGCGTTCAAATGTGATGTCAAATGAAACATAAAAAATGAAAATTCTATCTTACTTACCATATAGAGCACTGTACTTTATGCCCAGTAGATACACTGGTTCCTCTGTCAATGGAAAGTCACTGTATCCAAGGGCAGCACTCTCATAGGTCAGTGTACAAGTACCTACTAAAATGTATACAGAAATAAGAATTAGGGTTTACCATTTGGAGCTGTAAGATATACTGTATACAGGGAAATTTTCGCCCACGTTTTATTTTCACCCCTTTCGCCCTTCCCTTATTTGGGCGAATTTAAAATGGGGCGAAATGAAATAGTACAGTATAATTTCTTTAATAAAACTATGATTGGGCGAATTTAAAATGGGACAGAATTGTTTGCAAGTGTGAAGGGGCGAAAATTAAACGGGGCCAAAATAACCCTGTATACAGCATACATTGTATCACAATTTTGTTTTTGTCAATACATGTGTATATTTTTATAAAAAAAAAAAAAGATCTCCCATGGTTTTTGGTTGAATCATGATCTTTACCAAATGCACAACAAGTTGGATAAAAATTCATATCTTACAACAAATCGCGCACGGTTCTTTTTACCACATTGAAATTTTTAAACATCCTGGTAGCTGAATTTCTACAAAGAGAGGGAATATATGTCATCTGGTTCACAGCTGTCTGAAAGTCAGTCAGTATAATGGATCTCAACAGCTAAGTGGTAACAGTGGCAAAGTATTTCAGAGGCTGAGGGTTTTACACATTTAGAAAAATTTAGAAAACAGGGCAAGAACTTGTGAATTTCATATACTGTCCTTCACCAGTTTATACTTTGTAATACTCAGAATATGTAGCCATATACCTATATGCCAGTATTGAGTATATGCATCCCTGATACAATGTACTTCTGCATATCATCTACAGTGTGACGTACTGTATCATTTTTAAATAGACTTTAGATTAAAAAAAATGATAGTCACACTTTCATGAAATATTCATTATATGAGCGTATCTTACGTGGAATGTTATATAATAAACCTCATACATGTACAATGCTTAATTACTCTGAGAGTTCAAAAGTAATATCAGGTATAGATACAATGGATAAAGGTCTACATACACAGATGATTATATCATAATTCATAAAAATAGAAAACACCCACAAAGTATCTCGTCTGCCCTAAAGAAGTTGTTATATCATAGCAAGCTAAGGATTGTTAAACACTCGTCAATTTCTTTAAACTTTGATTTCATGAAATTACCATCATTGGTCATGTCCATAGCCTTCTGTGAATGTGAGTCTGCGACTCAGTCCATCTTTGTTGGAAAGAGTTGGACCAACGCCGAGAAAACCGAAAGGATGTCAACATTAAACTGGTTGTAAAATCTTCCCGAACGATTGGGTGAGTCTAGAGAAATCCCGAAAGACTGTGGACCAGTTTACAATTTCCTATCATAAAGAGATAATTTTTCGCATAAACAACAGAGAGATTATACTACTAAAGTTACGGGTGAAATAGATAAATTTATCTTCACATGATTACAAAT